AAACCACTTGATGTCATAATCAATATGAAGTCTTCTTTTTAATTTAAGTTATACAAGTTTCATATATCTGATGTATGCAGGTTTGGAACAAAGTAGGGCTTTCCCTCCTCCCACCCACATTTCAAACCTTCCCCCATTCCTGGGTTCCCATTCTTAATTTTTATGATGACCTGTTATCAATTCACTTAGTGATCTTATAGTTAGCCTTACTCTAAGTAGAGGATTTCAGCAAATAGTGTAAAGATAAAGAAAACAAAACAAAATAAAGCAAAACTGAAGATTGTTCATAAATGGAGAAACCAGGACTATAAACAATCATCCATTCTCCAAAAGACTATCTTGCTTGAATACATTACATTTCAGGTATTCTGTTAGCTGCATCAGATCAGGGAAAGCATATGGAATTTCTTTTTTGGGGGGACTTGCACATTTCACTAAGTGTAATGGTATAAGTGGTGATCATCTTGTTGCAAAATAAAGGATTTCATTTTTTTTTCATTTGCTTTTACAGCTGAGTAGTACTCCATAGTGCATATATACAATAATTTCTTTATCCAGTGCCTAGCTGATGGACATCTGGGTTGATTCCATATCTTAGCTATTGTAAATTGAGCTGCAATGAACTTGGGGGTACTGGTATTTCTTTCATGTACTAATCTGTTGGTTTGGTTAAATTGCCAGGCCTGGAATGGCAGGATAATATGGAAGGTCTATACTCAGGTTTCTGAGTTATCTCCATGCTGTCTTCCACAATGGTTGCACCAGTTTACATTCCCATGAGCAGTAGATCAGAGTACCTTTTTTTTTGCCACATCCTTGCCAGCATTTGTTGATCATTGTTTTCTGTATGAGAGCCATACTAACTGGAGTGAGACAAACTTCATTGTGCTTTTGATTTGCATTTCCCTGATGGCTGTGAACCTGAGCATTTTCCCAACTGTCTGTTTCCCATCTAAATTTCCTCTCTTGAAAACCACCTTGTTTATGTTCTTTGCCTATATCTTTATTGGATTGTTTATTGTGTTATGTTGAATTCCTTGAGCTTTTCATATATTCTGGATGTTAACCCTTTATCAGTTGCACAGTTTGCAAATATTTTCTCCCATTTTGTCAATTGCCTCTTCAATTTGCTGAGTGCTTCTTTGCAGGGCAGAAGCTTCTCAGCTTGATGTAATCTCATTTGTTGACTTTGGTTTTGATTGCCTGTGCTTCTGGGGTCTATCCAAGAAGTCTTCGCCTATGCCAATGATTTTCAGAGTTTCCTCACTGTTCAATAATAATTTGATGAAACCGGGTCATAGATTTAATTCCTATATCCATTTGAGTGGATTTTTGTGTAGGGCATAAAGTAGGGGTCCAATTTCCTACTTCTGCACTTGGAGGTCCAGTTTTTCCACCATCATTTGTTAAAGCGACTGTCCCTGTACGTGGATTGATTTTGCTATTTTATTAAACATAATAACATCACAGCTTTCTGTAGACACATGGATTGAATTTGGGAGTTTTTATTCTGCCCCATTAATCTATACATCTTTTTTTGTGCCAGTAACAGGCCATTTTGATTATCCTGTAGTTTTTTTTGAAATCTAGGATTGTGATGCCTCTAGCTTTGTTTTTTGTTGTACAAGATTGCTTTAGCTATCCAGGGCCTCTTGTGTTTCCATATGAATTCTAGCATCATTTTTTTCTGGACCTGCAAAGAATGTCATTGAGATTTTGATTGATATCTTATTGAATCTCTAAATTGATTTTGTAAGTATGGATATTTTGGTGATGTTGATTCTTCGAATCCATGAATGTGGGAGATTTTTCCATTTTTAATGTCTTCTTCTATTTCTTTCTTTAGTATTTTATAATATTCATAGTCATCTTTGAATTCCTTGGTTAAGTTTATTCCAAGATATTTGATGAATTTGATTCTTTATGGAGCTACTGTGAATGGCACTGATCTCATAAGTTCTTTTTCAGCCATGGCATTGTCTGTGCATACAAAGGCTCTTGATTTTCCTGTGTTGATTTTATATAGTGCCACTTTACCAACTCTTTTATGAGTTCCAATAGTCTGAGTGAAGATTTTTGGATCTTCTAAGTATTGGATCATGACATCTGCAAATAACAGTAACTTGAGTTCCTCTTTTCTAATTCTACCCCTTTGATTTTTTTTTTCTTGCCTGATGGCTCTAATTAAAACCTCCCGAACTATATTAAATAAAAATAGTGAAGGCCTGCGCAGTGGCTCACTAGGCTAATCTCCCAGCTGCAGCGCTGGCTCCCTGGGTTCTAGTCCCGGTTGGGGCGCTGGATTCTGTCCTGCTTGCTCCTCTTCCAGTCCAGCTCTCTGCTGTTGCCCAGGAAGGCAGTGGAGGATGGCCCAAGTGCTTGGGCCCTGCACCCACAAGGGAGACCAGGAGGAAGCACCTGGCTCCTGGCTTCAGATTGGCACAGTGCACCAGCCATAGCAACCATTTGGGGGGTGAACGAACGGAAGGAAGACCTTTCTCTCTGTCTCTCTCTCACTGTCTAACTCTACCTGCAAAAAAAAAAAAAAAAAAAAAAAAAAAGAGTCGACATCCTTTTCTGGTGTCAGTTCTGGGGGGTGGGATGTTGACAGCTTTTCTCCATTCAGTAGGATGCTTATTATGGGTTTGTCTTATGTTGCCTTGACTGTGCTGAAAATGTTCCTTCTATACCCATTATCCTTGAGGTTTTCATCATAAAAAATGTTGTATTTTATCAAATGCTGTCTCTGAATCTATTGATATTATCATATGATTTTTATTCTTCAGTTTGTGAATGTGGTTTATTACATTGATTGATTTGTGAATATTGAACCATCACTGCCTTCCGGGGACAAATCCCATGGGGTCAGGGTGCATTATCTTTGCGATGTGTTGCTGGATTCGACTAGCTAGTATTTTGTTGAGGAGTTTTGTGTCTATGTTCATGAGAGAAATTGTTCTATACTCTTTGTTGCATCATTTCCAGGTTAAGTATTAGGATAATGCAGGCTTTGTAGAAGCTGTTTGGGAGGATTGCCACCCTTTCAATTGTTTTAAATAGCTTGAGAAGAATTTAAATTAATTTAAGTCCCTGCATCCAATGGCGTGGCCTCCTCTGGGCGCCGGCCCCGCCCCTGGACCTGTCACTCAAATCTCTGCAGCCAATGGCAAAGCCGCCTGTCACTCACACTCTCAGCGCCCGCCTTCAGAACTGTCACTCAAGCCCCTCCAGGCAATAGCGTAGCCCTCTGTCACTCCCAGCCGCTGCGCCCGCCCCTTGACCCGTCCAGCCCCTCCGACCTATACCCCGGCGCCTGCGCACTGTCCCCACCTCTTGCCTGTCACTCAAGTCCCTCCAGCCAATGGCACAGCCGTCTGTCACTCACACTCCCTGCGCCCGCCCCTGCCTGTCAATCAAGCTTCTGCAGACAATGCCCCTGTGCCTGCGCGCTTGTCCCGCCTTCGGCTGTCACTCAAGCCCCTCCGGCCAATGCCTTGGCCCCTGTATTCTGGTCCCGCCCCTGATGTCATTCAAGTCCCTCCAGTCAATGCTGCGGCGCCTTACGATGGTCCCGCCCAGGAATTAGATTGACAGCCCCTTCAGCCAATGTCCCGGCGCCCTGGCGCGGACCCGCCCCCGCGCTGATGGACAGCCGTGCCCATCATGGCTGCCGGCGCGGTGCTGGCCACCGGCGCGGGTCCCGGTGTGGTAGGCGCGGGGTCGCTGTGGGCCGGGGGCGTCCAGGCCTTGCGCTGCGCGGCCCGGTGCCTGAGTCTGCGGCTGTTAGAGGTACGCGGGGCCCCGCCAGGGGGGTGCGCGACGCGGAAATCCGCCCGGAACGCGATCTCGGGGCTCCCCCAGCGCCCCAGACCCCCAGTGACCCCCGCGCGTCTCCTTCAATCAGAGGCGTTGCAGAAGTGCCCGGGCGTCGGCCGTCGGCCATCTGTGTCATCTCAGAGGAGTCTCAGCCCCCAACCAGGGGATTCCCAACGCGAAAATCCTCCCGGGACGCGATCGCGGGACTCTCCCAGCGCCCCAGACCCCCAAGGAACCCAGAAACCCTCAGGGACCCCCGCAGGTCTCCTTCAACCAGCGGCGTTGCAAAAGTGTCCTGCGTCGGCCATCGGTGTCCCATCAGAGGAGCCCTGGCCCCCAACCAGGGGATTCCCAAGGCAGAAACTGGCCCCGGACGCGGTCTCGGGGTTCCCCTGGCGCCCCTAGACGCCCACAGACCTCCGAGTCCTCCACGGATCCCCTGGTATCCCCATGGGTCTCAGTAAACCGGCGGTGTTGCAAAGGTGCCCGGGCGTTGGCCTTGGTGTCCCCCTAGAGAAGACTGGCCCTCACCAAGGGGGGGGCTCCCAATGTGGAAATCAGGCCAGAACGTGATTGCGGGGCTCCCCTGGCGCCCAGAACCCTCGAGGTCCTCAGGGACCCCCACGGATCCCCAAGACTCCCGTAAACCGGCGTCGTTGCAAAAGTGCCCTGACATTGGCCCTTGGTATCCCCTTAGAGGTGTACTGGAGGTGAAAATCTGCCCTAAAGGCTATTGCTGGGCTGCTCAGGCTCCTCCAGACCCCCAAGGCTCCACAGAGACCCCCAGTGACCCTTGAGACCCCTGGGCAGCAGCAGCTTTGAAAAAGTGCCTGGGCCTCAGCCATCGCTGCCCACCATGCAGGGCCCCCAGAGTCTCCAGGGTTCCAGGCCATTCTGTGGGGGCTGGGGGCCAAGGGCATGGGGGGGCTCTGACTAGAGGAGACTTGAAAACCCCCCTAGGGTCCTAAGGAGACTGGGGGGCCCCCAGGGCCCTAAGGAGATTGGGGGATAGAAAATAAAGGAAAAAAAAGGGTGTGAATGTGTGTCTATTGGTTAATACTTAATGGGGTCCTGAAACTTGGAAAAAAAATCACTGTGGGGTGCTGTGCCTGGAGATAGGGGGTGTGAATGTGTGCCTGTTTTGTTGTTGTTGTTTTTTTTTTTTTTTTTTTTTCCCCCCGCAGAACAACGGTTCCCTGGTTTGGTGCCAGAATGACAAGCAGTGTTCAACGGTAGGATTCCTAGACGTGGATGTAATACATGTATGAAACACACGTGTTGGACACGGGAACTCCACAAGGAGCAGGTGCACAGTTGCCCAGTGTCGCTCCCCGTCTTCGTGGAGGAACGACACAGGACCCTGCGCTGTTCTTTCGTCTGCTCGGCCCTCCCCGGGTTTGCTGCTGGTTCTTTCCGGGTTGGCTACCATCCCTTCCACCTCCGTGGAAGGGCGGTTCCCCCTGCCACTTTCCCCACTTCCGCGGGGGAGCTCTCTTGGGGGCTGCACAGGTGTTCCTTCAGATAGATGTTCCTCTTAGATGTTCCTGGTGCATGTTGTCTCTCTCCTCCTTTATAGTCCTCTTCCACCAATCCCAACTCTGCTACCCACACGCCAAGTACGCTGCTCTCCTCCAATCAGGAGTAGGTCCTACAGTTTATTGGTTGAACTGGAGGCAGCTGTGTAGAAGCTGTTTCTCCCTTCTCAGCGCCATATTGTGGGAGAGCAGATGCATAGAATAAGTCTTAATTCCAGTAACTTAGTCTAGTCCGAGTTGCTCCCCACAGCCCAGGTTATTGATAGACATTCTAATGTACGATGTCAGGGATCAGCCCAGCATCTTGTCATTGACTCGGGGACCCCGTGCACCTACTGAAGACATAGATGGAGTCCCCGGGGACCCCGTGGACCTGCTGGAGACCAGGATGGGGCTCCTGGGAGACCTGGATGGAGTTCCTGGCGCAGGCTCAGGGCCCTGTGTACCTGCTAGAGACCCGGATGGCGCTCCTGGGGGCCCCATGCACCTGCTGGAGACTGGGATGGAGCTCCTGCTGCAGGGACAGGGTCCCGTGAACCTGCTGGATACCCGGATGGAGCTCTTGGGGCTCTGTGCACCTGCTGGAGACCCGAATGGAGCTCCTGGTGCAGGCTCAGGCCCGTGTGCACCTGCTGGAGACCCGGATGGAGCTCCTGGGGCCTCGTACTCCTGCTGGAGACCTGGATGGAGCTCCTGGTGCAGGGACGGGGCCCCGTGCACCTGTTGGAGACCCGGATGGAGCTCCTGGTGCAGGCTCGGGCCCGTGTGCACCTGCTGGAGACCTGGATAGAGCTCCTGGGGGCCTCGTGCTCCTGCTGGAGACCCGGATGGAGCTCCTGGTGCAGGCTCATGGCCCGGTGTACCTGCTGGAGACCTGGATGGAGCTCCTGGTGCAGGCTCAGGCCCGTGTGCAGCTGCTGGAGACCCGGATGGAGCTCCTGGTGCAGGCTATGGACCCTGTGCACCTGCTGGAGACCGGGTTGGAGCTCTGGGAACCCTGTACACCTGCTGAACCCTGGATGGTGCTCCTGGTGCACCTGCTGAGCCCCAGATGGACTCCTGTTGCCGTCTGATTAACCTTCTTTTCTCCCGACAGTGTCTGGAGCCCTGCAAGCACCCAGGGGAGCTGGAGACAGGGCCATGTCAGAGTCTCTGTGAGGTGAGGATGTCGGTTTCTGCCCCCCCCCCCCCCAGCGGCTGACTGTGGGTTTCAAAGGCCCTCATGGCCGGCTCTGTCGGTTTCAAGGCCCTCCGTCTTTCTCCCCTCCCCCCAGCTGCTGTTCCCCGTGTGGAGCCACGAGTGCCTGAGCAGCTGCGCCTTGTGGTCCGCTCGGCGCTGGCGGCCAAGCAGGGGACATGTCAGGCACCGACCCGAGCCAGCGGCTTTGCTGCGGCTTGCGTGGTCAGCTGTGAGGCCGATGCCGAGTGCCCCGGGGGCCGGAAGTGCTGCCCCAATGGCTGTGGGCGCACCTGCCAGGCTCCCCGGGGGGCCTTCTGAGGTCAGCAGGGCTGTCAATCACGGTGGGGGCGGGGCGGGGTCGCTGTGAGCTCCAGGGGCCTCAGGGGTCCCTAGGGGTCTCTGTGAGTCCCAGGGGTCTCAGTAAGTTCCAGGGGGTCTCCAGGGGTCTCTGTGAGCTCCATGGGGTCTCCAGGGGTATCTATGAGTCCCAGGGGTCTCTGTGACTCCCAGGGGGGTCTGTGATGGTCCCAGGGGGTCTCTGGGGGTCCCCGGGGTTCTGACTCCCAGGGGTCTCTGGGGGTCTCCAAAGGTCCCAGGGGTTCTAAGGGGTCCCTGGGAGTCTCCGAGGGTCCCAGGAGTTCTCAGGGGTCCCCAGGGGTGTCTGTGAGCTCCAGGGGTCTCCTGGGGTCTCCCTGACCCGGGCTCCTCCACCCTAGGGGTCCCCCTAAAACCCCGGAGGCAGCTATGGCTCAGGGAGCTGGGGTCAGGGCCCCTGGAGGTCCGGTGGTCGTCTAGGTTCAACATCTCCCTGGAGCCCGTGGTGTACGTGGTGCAGCGCCTGTGGAATTATGGGATGGCGCCCAGTGAGCTTGGGGCACTGCATGGGAGACAGTAGCCCAGGTCAGTCATTGAAATATTTAGATTGGTGGGAGGGGCCTGGTGGCCATCTTGGGTCCCCATCCATCATTTTTATTTAATTTCCGGTTCACATCCCCGCCATTTTCTGTGTCCCCTGTTCCAGACCACAGACCAGCGAGTCTGGCTGCCCGATGTCCGGCCCGGCGGCTGGTACCAGTTCCGAGTGGCTGCCGTCAATGTGCATGGTACCCAGGGCTTCACCACTCCTGTCAGGCACTTCCGGTCATCCAGAGGTCAGTGCAGGGCCCCACCCCTCCAGGTTCCTCTGTGCCTGGTCGATGGGGAGCTCCGTGGCCTTGGTCCCTGTGACTCCCCACACCTGGTCCATGAAGCTCCTGTTGTCTGTGGCCCGCTCCATGACCCTGGCTCCCATGGGGGCCATGGGCCCCCAAACCCGGTCCACCGGAGCCTCCTGTGGCCGTGGCTCCCATGGCGTGGCTCCCCCACATCCGCTCCCTGTGGCCATGGCTCCATGGCCCATGCCCACGCTCAGACCAGCCCCCGGGTGGCTTTGTCGTGCCTCATGGGCCCTTCTCCACTGGGTTGCAGCTCCGTTGGCCCCACTGGCCCTGGCCGACCTGCGTGTGAACTCCACCGTGCGCGATGCCGACGGGACCGTGGCCGCCACTGTGATCTGGGAGCCCCCCGAGGACCCCGACGTCCCTGTGCACCACTACAGGGTCTCCTGGGGCCACGCAACCGAGGGGCAGTGGCAGAGGAAGTTGGTGGACGGGGTAAGCGGGGTGGGGCCGGGCTGCGGCCCCCTTGCAGGGGTCCCGGTAACCTGAGGGATCCCAGGGATCTCACTGGGATTCCAGGTAATCTAAGGAATCCCAGTAATCGGACGGATCCCACTGAGGGATTCAGGTAATCTGAGGGACCCCTGGGATCTGAGGGACCTCCCCCCCATCCCACAGCACTGGAGTTCAGTGACCCTGCAGCACCTGCGCCCCGGTAGCGTCTACACCGTGCAGCTGCAGCCACTGGGGGCCGACGTGGCTGCGAGGCCCCAAGGCTGCCCTGCACTTCACAGCTGCCAGCGGTGAGTGACGTTTTCTGCACACCAGTAGTCCCGCCCACTCTTGCTCACGGTCAGTGACAGTCCAGATACCGGAAGTCCCACCCACTCACTTCCGCACACTGGAAGTCCCTGTGACACCTCCTGCCTCTTTCAGATGTGAATGTCATTCTGATTGACATGTGTCTATCACCTTCACAGACATATTGTCCCCATAGGGCCCCAGCTCCAGTGCAAGGCATTGACAGAGTCAGCATCACTTGGACTTCCCAGGAGCCTTTGCAGTGAGTGCTCCTGTCAATCATGGGTTATCAGCATTTTGAACGGACTTCCCAGAAGCCTTTGTGGGAAGGGCACCTGTCAATCATGGGTCACCATGGAGACACCTCATGGACTTCCCAGAAGCCTCTGCAGTTGGGGCTTCTGTCAGTCATACGTCACCATGGAGACGCCAAGAGGACTTCCTAGAAGCCTTTGCAGCAAGCGCTCCTATCAGTCATGCGTCATCTGCGTGCCTAATAGACTTCCCAGAAGCCTTTGCGGTCGAGGCTCTTGTCAATCCGTACACAGTTCCAACTCATACACACAAGACTGCCACACCCATGAACATGCATGTGCAAACCTGGCTACATATGTGTGCACCCACATGGCAGCCACACGCAGGTCCGGGGTCACGACCTTTGATGGAGAGGCAGCCGAGAGACCCCAGGGTCACAACCTTTGATGGACAGGCGGCCATGTGACCATGTGACTTTTTTTATTTAATTCTCATCCCTCCCAGTTGGGCCATGTGGAAAATTGCAAGATGGCTTTCCTGTCACCCCGTTATTTACTGACTGCAATAAACGTGGTCAGGGGTCTTGGGGGTCTTTCTGTGCGGTGGCCATGTTGTCCTGAGGGTCCAGGCTGCCCCGTCCATCAAATCCGGGGGTGGGTGGAACCCTCAGTTCCCTGGAGTTCACCCTTGGGCCCCTAGACCGGGGTTACTGGTTCTGAGCTGCTGCTCCATACTTGCTGAGTCATGGTTCTATACCTGCCAAATCATGTTTCTATACCTGCTAAGTCATGGTTTCATACCTGCCGAGTCATGATTTCTATACCTGCTGTCATGCTTCCATACATGCTGAGTCATATTTCCATATCTGCTGAGTCATATACTTGCTAAGTCATCCTTCCATACCTGCTGAGTCATGCTTTCTATATATGCTGAGTCATGTTTCTACACTTGCTGAGCCATAGTTTTACACCTGCCAAGTCATGCAGCTATCGGCTCTTGTGACTCAGCAGAAAGTGCTCGGTGCCGGGGACTGACTCTGCTGTGCAGTGACTGACAGCATGGCTTCTCTGTGACTGACAGCTGCTCCAAGAGACCTGGGGTCTCCACCTGGGCCCCTGAAGATCCTCCGAGGGCCACCCCTGATCCCCGCTCCATTCTTCACAACCAGGGCCAGATTGACGGTTTCCTGGTCCAGTCAGGGGCGGGCTCTGAGGGTGAGTGACAGGTTACTGGTACAGTCAGAGGCAGGCTCTGAGGCAGATGGACAGGTTCCCAGTCAGTTCATCTGCATCTATAAGGAACACCTGCTGCTTCGTTTGTGATGAACACTTTATGGGAGTCATTGTAGACCCTGAGCCCAGGTTCGTGTTTGTGTCAAAGATGGCCGACTGATCCATGGATGGAGCCACAGGTTCGTGTCCAGGATAAAGATGGCCAACAGCCACGGATGGAGCCAGATTTGTGTGTGTGACAAAGATGGCTGACAGCCATGTTGGGAGTGGCCCCAGCTGCCCAGCAGGTGCATGGCTATGGCCCTGAGGCCCCAGCCGCCCAGAGCTGCAGCCATGGCTTCCAGATCACGTGGCCCGGGGCCAGCTGGTTGGGGACATCAAGGGGCACAGAGCCCCGGTGCTCCGCCACCGCCTCCAGGATGGCCTCCAGGATTGCCTGGTAGCGTGGCTCGGTGTGTGGTGTGAGGGGCGCAGCCTCGCTGGGGTCGTGGGCCAGGTTGAAGAGCAGGGGTGGGTCGTGGCTCGTCACGTGGGTGGGACCCTGGCACAGGCACACGTGGGTGGGGAAGCAGCCGTTGGCGCCGGCCGGGCGGAACTTGGGTGTGAAGAAGAAAGCCTTGAACACGGCTGAGCCTGGGGGTGGATCCGGGCTGTCAGTCATGGGGAGGGATGGGGCTGGGCTGTCAGTTAGGGTGGAGGGTGGGGCCTGGTCTGTCAGTCACAGGGAAGGGCTGGGCCAGAGCTATCAGTCACGGAGGACCTGTCAATCAACTATGGATGACCTGTCAATCATGGGATTGACCTGTCAATCAATAAATCACGGGGCTGACATCTACCTCTATCCAGCATGCCCCAGGGTCCACGACCGCCCTTCCCAGCATGCCTTGGGGTGCATACTCACTGTTGCGTGGCAGCCAGCGCACAGCCTGCAGGTAAGCATTGCAGTAGTGGAACAGGAACTCGTGGGCAGACTGCTGGCTCTGTCCCCGGAGGAGGGGCATCAGGTCCCGCCCATCAATCACCCTGGGGGAGTGGGGCTTGTGTGTGACTGACTTTGGGGTTCCGGGGGGGTCTTCCTTGAATCCCAGGTCCCATATGTCAACCACCCTGGGGGCAGGGCTTGTATCTGTCAATCACCCTGAGGGGCAGGCTTGTGTGAGACTGACTTAGGGGGTCCCATGTCCCATCTGTCAATCACCCTGGGGCGGGGCCTGCATCTGTCAATCACCTGTCGTGGGGCAGTGGCGCCCCTGTGAGCCCAGCCACTGTGGGGAAGATGTCCATGTTGCTCGTGGCCACATCCACCTCGCATCTGGCAGGGATAACCCCAGGCCAGCGCAGGATGCCCGGCACCCGGATGCCGCCCTCCCAGTTGTTGGCTTTGCCACCTGCAGGGGACAGATGGGGGAGAAGGCAGCTGCTGGATCAGCCTTATTCATGGGGTCTCATTATGACATGGTCTGGTCCCATCCTATAGGTTCAATGATTCTATGTTGAACATGACGGACTCTTATTATGACAGAGTCCCCTCTCTGACCTCATAGATGCGATCTGGACCATGGGGGACTTTTATTTTGACAGTGTGCTCTAGGAGGTACTCTTATTATGACACAGACCCCTCCACGATGACCCAGATGCCTGCAGCTCGACCCTGGGGACTTTTATTATGACATGGCCCTCTCCATAACATCTTAGGTTCAATATTGACCAGGAGGGGCTTTTATTATGATAGGATGAGCTCTAGGGGAGACTTTTATTGTGATATGACTACCCAGACGCCTCTACCTCAACCACAGGGGACTCTTATTATAACAGTGTCCTTTTCATGACATCATAGATTCGAGCTGGACCATGGGGGAATTTTATGACAAGGTCTGCTCTAGGAAGGACTCTTATTATGACACAGTACTCTCCACGGCAAACCAGATGCCTCCATTTTGACCGTGAGGGACTTTTATTATAACAGGGCCTGCTCTGGCAGAGACACTTATTATGACAGCGTCCCTTCCAGGATGCCCCAAATGTCTCCATCTTGACCGTGGGGGGGCTTTTATTGTGACACAGTCCCTTCCAGGATGCACCTGATGCCTCCCCCTGGGCCTTGGGTGACTCTTATTGTGACACTGTGACCCTGAGACTGGTCTGCACCCCTGCTCACCCCTGTAGATGCCGTTGCTGCCCCCGTGGACCTCGCCCGTGGCCGTCACCTCCTCCACGTGGGCGCCCTGGTCAGATGAGAAGTAGACGAGGGTGCGGCCAGCCAGGCCCAGTTCGTCCAGGACCTGCAGGATCTGGCCTGGACCAGAAAAAAACAAATTTACGAGGTGCCAACCAGCTCAGGTACCAAGATGGCGGACAGGGACAAATTCACATTGCAATTTGAGATTCGGCCCCCTGTGGCGCCAAATTCACGTTGCAATATGAGACTCAGCCACCAGGTGGCGCCAGAGACACATGCACATACCCACGCTCCAGTCCAACTCCTCCACGGCGTCGCCGTAAGCCCCATGCGAGCTCCTGTGGGCAAACTCTGGGGAGGCGAACAGGGCTGTGTGCACGTGGATATAGGACAGCAGCAGCAGAAAGGGCTTCTGGGAGTTCCTGGAGGGAGGTGAGCAAAAAAAAAAAAAAAAATGGGCGAAATACTTGAACAGGTAATCTTTTGGTTCATAGAAGGCAATGCAAAATAGACACCGGAAATAGGCAAGAGGGGTTCAGAGTATATCTAAAATGGCTGCAGGAAGTGGGTATAAAACACTCACAGCCAATCCAGAATGGCCACTGGAAGTAGATGAGAAAGCGTTTAGAGCCGATCCAAAGTGGGCACTGGAAGTAGGCATAAAACGCTCAGACCCGACCCAAAATGGCCTCTGGAAGTGGGCTGAAAAGCACTCTGAGCTAATTAATGGCCACCGGAATTGGGTAAAGAAGCTCAGAGCTGATCCAAAATGGTCACCGGAAGTGGGCATACAGCATGCAGATCCATTTAAAATGGCCACCGCGGACTCACCGCCGTATGAACCCCGTGGCCTCCTCCGTGAGCCTCTGCGTGAGGTTCCCATAGTCCAGAGGCTGCTGGGCCACTTCGAAGTCCCGCATGAGGAAGCAGTGGAGTGACCGGAAGTAGCGTCGGAACAGGAAGTGGCAACCCAGCAAGATGGCCATGGGCAGCAGGAGGCCCAGGAAAGCGGCAGGCGGCGGCCGGGCCAGGCCGAGGCAGCGCAGGGCGGCCAGGGTCAGGGCAGCAGCGCCCAGGGCCTGCACGGGGACCACCACGATCCAGTGCACAGCGCCCTCGAACACCGTGCCAGCCCCCGGCTTGCAGTCCCGCAGGTTGGTGGCTGGGAGCCCGAAGAACTGGTCGAAGCCGTGGACCCGCGGGTGGTGGCAGAAGTCGCGCGGGTGCCGGCAGCTCAGGCCCAGGTGCCACTTCCCTGGGACCAGAAGTTCATTGGTGACAGACAGCCTGGTCCCACCCTGAGGCCCAACTTCCAGTCACGTGACCGGAATGCCTTCTGCTGCCTTCCCCTGGATGGGGTCCATCCTTGCATGTTGCTGCTACTTGGCCGCATTTTGCCTACCTTTTTTATAAACGGAATTCCCGCCTACACCGGAAGTCCCGCCCACCCCAGAAGTCCCACTTCGGAAGTTCTGCCCACCCCGGAAGTCCCGCCCCTGCCCTGGCATTCCGGAACCTTCTGTACCGACAAGCGCTGTGGTGTAGCCGCGGGTTTTGGCCAGCCTAGCGAACGTGACCTCGGTGGCTGGGAGACCCCCAGATGAAGCCGGGAACAGGAAGACACCCACCCGCGACCGCGCAGCCATGCCTGGGGGGCGGGGAAGAGATGAAGCCCCACCTCCTGTACCCCTGCCACGCCCCCACCTCCGAGGACAAGCCCAACCCTCCCCGGCCCTTCCCCCACCCCAGGGCAAGCCCCACATTTTCCCAGCCCCACCCCCGTGAGCCACAGACCCGAGCGCACTGGGTAGCGTCCAGTCAGAAAGGCTGCGCGGCTTGGTGTGCACAGCGGAGCGGCAGCCAAGTGCTGGGTCAGTTTCACGCCATCACGTGCCAGCTGGTCAATGTTCGGGGTTCTAGAGGGTGGAAGAGACCCAGATGAACCGTGGAGGCTTCAAGATGGCTAAGGGACCCGGATGACTGTGCTACAAGCTGGCCGCCATGGAGGTACAAGCTGGCCACCTGAGAGACCCAGATGAGCCCCTGAGGCTACAAAATGGCTACCCAAGAGACCTGGATGAGCTGTTGAGGCTACAAGATGGCCACCTGAGAGACCAGATGAGCCATGGAGGCCACAACATGGCCATCCTGGAGACCCAGATGAGCCCTGGAGGCTAGAAGATGGCCGCCTGAGAGACCCAGATGACAGTGTCACAAGATGGCTGCCCGAGAGACCCGGATATCCGACCTGAGCGTCCTGTTGCCATAGCAGCCGATGTCACCAATGCCAAGGTCATCTGCCAGGAGCAGGACGATGTTGGGGGGTGGGGCCGTGGTGGCAGTGTGGGCGTGGCCTCGGCTGGGACCCAGGAAGAGGAGGAGGAGGAGGCACGCGGCTCTCATCGTCCTGCACGGAGAGACAGCGGTGTCAAGGCTCCCTGCCCCTCTCTGTTTCAAGGCTCCCGGCTCTTGTCTTCTTCAAGGCTTTCCGCCATGACTTTCATTACAATAAAACAGGGCATGGCTCTTAGCCTTGAGTGGCGGGCAATCCATTCCAATGACTGTCAGGAGGAAACAGGGCTTTGAGTTGATTGGCTTTCCGGCTTGCATCAGTCATGGGCGGGTCACTGAGTAGCTATGGACTACTTATTGATCGCTCATTGTCTATTGATCAATGATCTGTTATTGATAAACTATGGATTATTGATTGGTTATAGATTATTGATTGGTTGTCGGTTATTGATTATTGGTGATTAATTACTGTTTATTGATTAGTTTTTAAAGTCTATTTTTTATTGATCTCTGAAATTGAGGCTTAAATTTTATTCATTTTTTTGTGAGGGACCAATATCAGAAACCAATAACTGATCAATGATTGACGGATAATCACCAGCCACCAACCAATAGCTAATCAATAACGAATCTATAATTGGTAACTGATGAATAGTCAATGCCCAACAGCGATAACTAAGAGCTAACCAATAACCGATAGCTAATCAACAATTAATAATCGATAGCTAATCAACAACTAGCCAATACCCAATAACTAAGCAATAAGAACTAACCAATAATCAATAGCTAATCAACAACTAAACAACAATGAATAACTTGCTAATAACTAATAAGCAATCGGTAGCTAATCAATAAATAAACAATAATTGGCCAATAACTAATCAATAACTAACCGATAACTGCTAACCAAAAACCAATCGCTGACCAATAAGGAATAGCTGATCAATAACCAACCAATAACTGACCAATAACCAATAACTAAGCAATGGCTAATCAATAACTCAGTGATCACCAACCCATCACTGATCCATAACTAACCAATCACGGACCAAAAACCAATCACTGATCCATAACTAACCAATCACGGACCAAAAAACAATCACTGACCAATCAGCCATAGCTAATCGATAACCTGATCCAGACACGTCTTCACCGGCGGTCCCGTCTCCCACAGCAGTCAGACACGGTCAGACTCGAATGCCCATTTCCTGGGTTCTAGAACCTTCTGCACTGGCCCTGGCCAGAATCTTCTGGCCTCCAGACAAATCCGCACAGACTGACAGCTGTCAATCTTATCAACAGCATGAGCCCTGACCCAGATGCTAAGACACATTCATTGCTGGGGACACACATTCATCCCTCAAGGCTACCACACAGAGGACATTCCAGAAATCCCAGTCGCCTTCTGCTGACTCATGCTGACTCACGCTGGCCTGTGTGTCCATCAATCACTCAATCAGGCTGACCCCCAGAAAAAATGGATGGATAGTTGGCTACAAAGAAGACTCTGGAGTCCTCTGGGTAGGGTGCTGGGGGCTGAGTTATCCCAGCTACAGAACCGGGGGAGGGTCAAGAGAGGGCAGAGACTTTGTGCAGCAGGAAGGACCATGGCTCCACCCCCAACTGGACAGCCCAGAGATATACTGTAGCAATTCTAATTTGCAAAGTTAATACATTGTAGCGATTTTGATTTCAATCTCAATACACTCAATACCCGATACACTGTAGCAATTTGATACATTGTAGAAATTTCTAATTCTGCTCTAAGCCACCAACTTGATACATTGTAGCAATTTCGACACATTGTAGCAACTTCAACTCCAAACTTAACTCACAAACCCAACACATCCCAGCAATCTGATACATTGTAGCAATTTCTAACTCACAGATGTGATACATTGTAGCAAATTTAACTTCGGTTGTGATTCACTAATCTGATACATCCTAGCGATTTGATACAGTGTAGCAATTTCAAATTTAAATTTAACTCACAAACTTGATGCACTTTAGCAATTTGATACATTGTAGCAATTCTGAATTTGATTTCAGTTCACGAATCTGAACATTTTAACAATTACAGGTCACAATTCTGATACACTGTAGCTATTTGATCCACCGTAGCAGCCTCAATTCACAAACTTGACACATTGTGGCAATCCGATACAACCTGGCAAATTCATTACAATGTTGCGATTGCTTGATACAATGTTGCAAGTTTGATGCAATGTTGCGATTTTTCGGTACGATGTAGCAGGGTGACCCCAGGACTTTGGCACAGCCCCCACCCCACGCGTCCCTGACCCCCGACTCACCGCTCCCTCGGAGGCTCCAGGACACGACTTCCCACTTCGAGAGCCAGACCCTGTCTGCCTGAGGCCTCAGCAGACAGCTAGCATGTGTCAACCCCCACGTCAATCAATCATTACCACCACGTCAGAGAGAGATAGGACGGTGTCCAATGGCTCACAGCTGTGACTCAGCGAGAAAAAACTCACGGCTGAGTCTAAGGGTGACGGAGCCGCTCTGGGGGTGGCTGGGTGCACCTGCCAGGCCCCGTGGCACACATAATTAAGCTGTCAATCATCAGAGGACTTCCTGTACAGGGTCATGGAGGGGACAGGGAGCTCCTGGGGGCCCTGTGCACCTGCAGGAAACCCGGATGGAGATCCTGGTGCAGGCTCAGGCCCTCGTGCACCTGCTGATCACCCGGATGAGCTCCTAGGGGCCCCATGCACCTGCTGGAGACCAGGATGGAGCTCCTGGTGCAGGCTCGGGCCCCGTGTACCTGCTGGAGTCCCGTATGGAGCTCCTGGTGCAGGCTCGGGTCCCGTGCACCTGCTGGAGACCCGGATGGAGCTCCTGGTGTAGGCTTGGGCCCCGTGAACCCACTGGATACCCGGATGGAGCTCCTGGTGCAGGCTTGGGCTCCGTGCACCTGCTGGAGACCCGGATGGAGCTCCTGGTGCAGGCTCGGGCTTCCTGCACCTGCTGGAGACCTGGATGGAACTCCTGGTGCAGGCTCAGGGCCGTGTGTAATCCTCCCTGGGCTCTGTGTGTCCTTAACGTTCCATCCGGAGGTCAAGGCCCCTGAGCCGCACAAACAACAGCCGCGAGGAATTTGTTCCCTGTGTCAACACCCGGGGTTGTGCAAGGCCAGCATCACCAGTGTGGGCGGTAGATTCTGGCAAAGGATGAGGCAATCACTGAGCACAAATCCATGGGCCTTGGTTATTGTTTGGAAATTTGTAATACTGGAGAGGTGGAGACACCTGTCCATCACCCCGGAAAGCCTGTCAATCACTTATCAGAAACCTGGCAGTCACTCCATAAAATTTTTTAATTCGTGAAGACTGTTTAATCATTAAAAATGCTCTTTGGCCATAAAAATACCTTTTCTGACAGAAACGTACCCATGTTTCTGTCAGAAAATTTTCTGTCAGAAATTCGAATTTCCGAGTACAGAAATGGGGAATGGGAATTCTGGGAATTCTAGAAGCAGCGGCTTGTCCCTGTGCTGCCCGCTGTCCATCAATGTTGCCAGGATCCATGATGGGCGGATCCAATATGGCTGCCACTCCTGTCAGAACTTGAAGCTGCCAGCATCCAACATGGCTGCCACTCCCGTTAATACGAGAAATTGCCAGACTCCAACATGGCTGCCACTCCTGTCAGAAGAAGAAATCGCTAGGATCCAAGATGGCTACTTTTCCTGTTAAAAGAAATTGGTATCGAACTTGGCTGCCGCTCCTGTCAGAAAAAAAGAATAAAAAAGCCACAATCCAATATGGCTGCCGTTCCTGTCAGAAAAAAATTTGCCAGAAACCAATATGGCCGCCGTGCACATAAGAACGAGAAATTGACAGAAGCCAATATGGCTACCGCTCCTGTCACAAGGAGAAATTGCCAGGTTCCAACATGGCTGCCCGTCCCGTCAGAATGAGAAATTCCCAGCATCCAACATGGCTTTCGGGGCCGTCACGACGAGAAATTGCCAGAATCCAACATGGCTGCCACTCCTGTCAGATGACATTGGAATCCAATATGGCTACCGTTTCTGTGAGAAAGAGAAATTGCCAGCAACCAATATAGCTGCTGCTCCTATCACTGCCAGATTCCAACATGGCTGCCGCCCCCGTCAGAAGTCGGAATAAGCACTGGAGGCACACACTGGGGTGACTCCGCCCTCGCAGCACGAACGGCACCCAGGGGAAGTGGGGCCTCCAGAAAGTGTTGGCGTTGTGATCTGAAGCCGTGCATAAATCATGAAGGGGGAAACAATTACGTCGGGCCTCTATTATGGGATGTTAACAAACACTTGTATGATGGGTTGGCTAACCCGCCAGGGCGCTGACAGAGACGCCGCAGTACGCATGCGCCGGCCCCGCGCCTGTCAATCACTAGAGCCAGAGCCGCCCAGTTCCCCCATCAGGACCACAGTGGCATTTGCTGAGGTAACTGATCAGCGGCTGAACGCGAGCGCGCTTGCGCGGGGTTGCCTAGCAACGAGAAGGCCGAAGCACGCGTGCGCAAAGTCCCAAGCGGGCACAAACGCGGCTACGCGGGTTGCCTAGCGACGGGGAGAAAGCCGGACGGCGCGTGCGCCAAGTCCCAGCGCCTCGGAACGCCGAATGCCTAGCAACGGAGCAATGAAGAAAATGCCTGTTCGTGCTTGCGCTATGCCTGTCTCCGCCCTTGGGTGCGGCTGTCTCCAGTGCGCATGCTTAAGGCCTCCGGGGCGCTTCTTTTACTAACCCCAGCGCCCCCCAACATGGCGGCACCCGGGATCGCGCGACCTGTCACTCACCTCCTCTTCGACCTCGGCAGACTCCCTAATGGGTGCGTAGACAACCCGGACGGAGGCGCACGGGAGGGGCGCGGGACTCCGCGTGCAGAGGGGACGGGTCTCCTCATAGCAGGGACCCTCGCTGCGGCTCGGCGACCCCCGAATCGAACCCAGAGCGCAGCCAGCTGCATCTACGCGGCCCCCAGCGGGCGGCTTCCGGTCCGCCGGACGCGTGCACGGGAGGCGCGCTCCCCGGAGACCACCCCGGGCGGGCCCTGGACTCCCCGCCCCGAGCCCGAAGGCGCCAACCCGGAAATTTCCCATGCTCCTGGTTTTTTCACAGGGTCCCTGAATTTTCCCACGGTTCTTGATTTTTCCACGGTCCCGCCCGTCAGCCTCGGGGTCGCATCTGGGAAATGGCCTTGAACTGGGGTGGCTAGGGTCCGGTCCCATGCACCTGCTGGAGACCAGGATGAGCTCCTGGTGCAGGTTCGGGCTCCGTGCACCTGCTGGAGACCCGGATGGAGCTCCTGGTGCAGGCTCATGGCCCTGTGCACCTGCTGGAGACCTGGATGGAGCTCCTGGTGAAAGCTCGGGGTTCCTGTGCACCTGCTAGAGACCCGGATGAAGCTCCTAGGAGAGCCCGATGGAGCTTCTGGCGGGCCCTGTGCACCTGCTGGAGACCTGGATGGACCTCTGTTGCAGGCTCCGGTGCTTGGATGGGAGCTGAGGATGTGAGGGGCAGGGCAGCTGGCACCGGGAGCCGCGCAGATCCTCGCAGATGTCCTTGGGCTGCTGGGGTTAGGGACCAGGGCTGCAGCGTTAGAGCCGGGGGGGGGGGGGGCGGCTGATTGACCTGCTCCCCTGGGCCAGACTCATGCCGAGTGCACCCAAAACGTTCTACAAGTTCTATGGATAGCCTTGGCTGGCCGGAAGTAAGATGTCTGGGAGCCAGTAGTGATGGTGTGGCTCCTCCTAGTGGGGTCCGGAAGCCGGAAGTGGGGGGTCCCAAGAGGTTCAGGAAGCCAGAAGTGGAGGTCATGGCTGGCGCCACGCTGGATCTCGGCTCCTCCCCTTCAGAGAACATTTTTTAAAGATTTTATTTATTTGAGAGGTATAGTTACAGAGAGTGATAGAAAGAGGTCTTCCTTCCTCTGGTTCACTCCTCAAATGGCCACAACAGCCAGAGCTGAGAAGATCCAAAGCCAGGAGTCAAGCGCTTGTCCTGGGTCTCCCACATGCGTGCCAGGGCCTGAGCACTGGGGTCATATTCTAATGCTTTCCCAGTCCACAGGAAGACAGATGGATCAGAAAAGGAGCAGCCAGGATGTGAACCAGTGTCCATATGGAATGCTGGTGCTGCAGGCAGAGCCTTAGCCTTCTACGCCTCAGCACCAGTCCCCAGAGATCACTGAATTTATAGCTGTCATCTTTATGGTAGTGTAAGATCTGAGGATTATTTAGAAGTATTTTTGAATCCTTTAAGGAGATATTTCCTGTGATTGCCATTGAATCTAACAAATATAAGTGTTCAATAAGTGGGCACCAAATGAATTAATTTACCAATTTTAGTTGGTACAGAAAGAATTTATAACAATAATTTAGATTATACTCTAAGTATAAACAAAAGATACCTTCTTGAGAAATCTATGGTATGATCTATGTACTGTTGCCTTTATAGTATTACAGTGAATCTATTCATATAGCCCAAATGTCAGTTGGGATAAATTCTGCTATGACAGATCATTTTTACTTTGTGTACACTTGGTTTCACGCTAACAAAACAGGGTTGTTAAGTCATAACAGAAATTACATAACCCACAAGCCTTATAGACTCCTTATACAGAAGTATTCCCAATTCCTGGTTTGCTCCATCAATACAATGAAATGTGAGTTTGTACAAATTAATCTATTATGTTACAACCCACAGTGGCTTTGAGATTGTGAAAACTCTCATCACTAAGTTTTTTCAGTGGCTGATTTACCATTCCTCACTAAGGAAGTGACTGATGTATTAGTCCACATATCTTACAACTGGACTTTGGAAAAGCAGAAGTCAATCTAGTGTGCAACCATAGCTCCCAACATATACATATTTGCCTCTATTATGTAGCAATACTTTCCTATTATCAGAAGTGGGGAACATATGGCCCACTGGCTCTATGAGGCCTTGGAAATCATTTGGTAAAACATTAGGCAACCACAGACAGAACTCAAAATTCAATAAATCAATAATCTAAAACAGGCTAATTTTAAGTTAATAAAGTTGTTTGGCCTGTGATAAGATTATAAATACCCAGAAACCCATGTCAGGAAAATGCTTCTTTTCACCACCCATTACATGTTCAGAGTCTTTTACTTTTGCCAGGATAAAGGCGTTTCTTGCCAGTAAGTCTTTTGAGACAAAAGGGAGCTCAAAGTGACATGGCAGCAGCCATACATTAAAATTCATTGAACTCCTACATCCGTCCCTGTAGGAGCATTCCTACATTGGGATTGAGAACATCTAGGCCACATAAATTAAAATTCTGGAGAGCAGAACAAAAATGCCATGTAAGAATGATGATGATAAGCTGATACGCCTTCATGCATTCTGATTTCATGGACCAATTCCTTCTACATAATAACCTGTCAGTACCTTGAAAATCCATTAATTTCAAAGATGTAGAGTGACCCACATGATGATGCCACCTTTCAGTCTCACAGAACCATTTCATCTGAATTCATGTCGATGCTCTATTAGGATGACAAATTCTGGATGGTGTCATGTATGATAGAAAGAGTGGATGCCATTATTTAGTCACCTGCCTCATGTTAGTTGAAGTACAATGAGATTTATATTCCTAGGAAATTGTATGCATAACCTCATTGTATTTATAATCTCATGTCTGGGAAACAAAACTCAGTGATTCTTCAAAT